CCGGACACCTTGAAATGTCGCGCTCTTCGGGCCCTCTTGGGTCGCTCTTGGGGCTCAGTTGGGGCGCCCTCGAGGCCCTCTTGACTTATCTGGGGAGCCTCCTGGGCCGTCTCTGGGCTTTCTTGGGAGCCTCTTCGGCCGTTTTGGAGCGATCCGAAGGGCCTCTGACGCAGTCCGGGACTGTGGGGAGGCGGAACATGGGAGAGCGCAAGAATGCGTCAAAAACCATTGGAGAAGGCATGATGTTCAGCTTCTGGGGCCCTTTGGAGGGGCCTCTGGAGGCGCTCTTGGGGCGTTTTCGCGGCGTCGTCGGCCGTCCTGAAGCCATCTTCGGCGTGTCCGGGGCCTCTGGGGGCTGTCTTTGGGCGTCCTGGGAACCCGGAAATCATGCTCGCTCGCGGGTGCGACCCCCCTCGCGGGTGCGACCCCACTCGCGGGCGCGACCCCCCTCTAGGCTGCGACCCCCCTCGCGGGTGCGACCCCCCTCGCAGGTGCGACCCCCCTCGGGGCTGCGACCCCCCTCGCGGGTGCGACCCCCCTCGCTGGTGCGACCCCCCTCGCGGGTGCGACCCCCCTCGCGGGCGCGAGCCCCTCGCGGGTGCTCGCGGCCCCAGCTGGCGACGAGCTGCCCAGCGACCGCCTCCGCGGCGCCGACCCCTTCCTCCTCTTCCAGGAGAGCCACTTGTTCGCGGGCCAGGGCCCGCAGGTGCTGCAGGGCCGCTTTGCCGTAGCATCTGGCGGTCTCTAGCGCCAGGGGAACCATGCGCCACGGCGCTTGCCCCGCGGGGTAGCGCTGGCGCTTGTCCGCCTCGGCTGCCGCACTCACCGCCCTGTTGCGGCCTGCGGCGGCGGCCAGGCCGTCGACGTCACCGGGTGCGCTGTACCGGGCGGTGACGTCGAAGAACAAGCGGGGCTGCCCGGCCCGCTGCGTCTCGAGGTCCAGGATGGCCTCTTCGCGCTCGGCGGCTAGGTGGTGGCCGCAGGCGGCACAGGCCGCGGGGGGCCGCGCGGCGGTTCCGCGCGCGCCGCAGCGGGCGCGCCGCCAGGTCCAGCGGCGGCCCCAGGCCGGGACGTGGACTTGGCGCGCAGCGTGGCAGCCGCACTCCACGTGGATGCGGTGCCAGGTCTGTTCCAAGTCCCCGCTGCGCGCCTTGAGGCCGCCCCTGCGCGCGCAGCGCCAAGCGCGCCGGGCCTTGTCGCCGAGGGCCTCGCCGCAGCGCTGGCCAGCGCGGTCGCCCGTCCGGGCGCAGTTGCAGCAGGCGGCGCCCAGCGGCGCCGCGCCCTGGCCCAGCAGCGCGCGGGCGGTGCCCTGGCAGTCGGCGTCGTCGAGCCGCTCCCTGGCCTGCCCGGGCGAGGCGCTCTGCCACCCGGAGGCGCGCGGGCCGCCGCAGCTGCGCAGGAGCGCCCGCGCCTCGGGCCCCAGGGCGCCCAGCAAGGAGTCGTAGTTTTTCTTGTCGATCCTAGCTGCGAGCGCTTTCTGGAGTTTCTTCTGGGGGGCGGCTGCGAGGTCCTGCCAAGAAGGCAGTTCGCCCGGGGCTTCGCCCCGCCGGGGCGGGGGCGGCGCCTGCGAGGCGAAGCTAGAGAGGGCGCGGCGGCAGGCCGCGGCCAGCGGCAGGTCGCAGGTCTCCAAGTTCTGCAAGCAGCCCAGCCCAGTCCGAGCGCGGATCACCGCGAGGCTCTGCGCCCAGGAGCCCGCCCAGGCGGCCGGGGCGAGCTGCTCCTGGCTGCGGAAGCCGCGGCCGCCGAGTCGGAGCGGGAGGCGGCACTGCGCTTGCGCCTCGGGCGCGAGGGGGTCCAGCGCGCAGAGCCCCGTGTAGGCCGTCAGGGCGGCGGCGTCGTGGGCGGCGGCCACGGCCGCCGTCGCGGCGAGCGGGTTGGTCCGCAGGCAGCGCGTGAGCTTCCCAACGCTGCAGTAGCGGAGGAGCAAGGCGGCGGTGTGCACTGCCGGCAAGTGCGGCGATGCGTGGGCGGGCAGCTCTGCCAGCCTGTCCAAGAGCGCCGCGGCCCGCTCTGCCGTCTCCGCGCAGCGCGCGGCAGCAAAGCCAGAGGATCCAAGGTCGACCCGGCGTCCGCCTCCCTCGTCTGGCAGGCCGTTCTCGGGCCGAGCCGCGCCCAGAGGCACTCCCACGAGCGTCAGCCCGCCCGTGCGCCACTGCTCCTCCAGGCCTGGCGGGCACGGCGAGCCTGGGGACCAAGCCTGGGTCTCGTGCGGCTGCAAGTGGAGGCCAAGGGCGGAAAAGACGTTTTGCGCGGCGGGCGAGCTCCGGCGGCGCCAGCACCACGACGTCGTCCAAGTACGCCAGGACTCGGATGTCCTCCGGGGGCAGCCCGTGAGACACCGCAGCGGCGCGCAGCCTGTCCTCCAGGGCGCGCAGGCGCGGCCGGATCCCGCACGCAAAAAGCAGCGGCGAGAGCGGGCCCCCCTGGTCCACGCCGTCTGTGGAGCGCAGCCGGTGGCAGACTCCAGCGCTGTCCCAGAAGAAATACTGGGAGTGCCGCCGGGAGAAGAGCTCCACGTACGGCAGGAGCTCCGGCGCCGCCCTCTCCAGCTCGAGCAAGCACTCGCTCCGGTGGATGGAGCAAAAGGCGTTTTGTGCGTCGAGGGCCACCGTGACGAGGCTCGGCTTTGCCTCCGTCAGCGCGCGGACAGCGTGAGCCAGAAGCTCCGTGCCGGCTGCCGTGCCGATGGCATACTGCTGCTCTCCGAGCGCGGCGGCCGAGGCTTCCTTGCGTGGCTGGGCCAGGGCGCGGCCCACGAGGCGTCGCAGGATGTTCGGTGCTGCGATGGGCCTCACGCCGCCGCCTGGCTTGTGCAGCGGCGGCCAGCGCCACCGCTGCGCACTCCGGCACGCGGCCTTCTGCGATCCGGTCGCACACCTGGCAAAAAGCGCCCGGCGCCCGCGGCTCCGACAGCACAGCCCGCCAGTGCTCAAAGCGCCCGCCTCCCACGGCGGCGCCACTCCCCCTGGGGTTGCTGCGGAAGGCGCGCTTCAGGTGCCGGTGCGAAAACGGGGCCTCGTCGGGAGGGGGCCGCGCTGGCGAGGGAAGCAAGGCTGGTGCCGCTGCCGGCTGCAGCAGGGCCTGCAGCTGTTCTGCCGTTTCTGGGGTCTGCGGCGCCAGGCCCGGGCTGCAGAGCAGGGCAGCCGCCCGCGAATATTCTTCCGACATGGCCTTCCTCAGCACCGCGTCGGCGAGGAAGTATTCGTTCTGTTGTGGGCCCTCGTCGTGCTCGCGCCTGCTTTTGGCAAGGTCGACCCCCGTGCGCCAGGCGCGTGCCAGCAGCTCCGCCCACTCGCCGCGCTGCAGAGCAGAGCAGCGCCGCCGCACCAGCTGCGCCCGGTCGGCCACCGTGGCTCCGTCTTGACGCTGCCCCCGCCGTTTCCGGAGCGGCGCTGCGAAAAGCAACCGCTCCCGCAGCAGCAACAGTTTCCATGCCCGAGTTGCCTCCGGGGTGTCAGCTGGAGCTCGGAGGATGGCCCGGCAAAGCTCGTCAGTCGTCTGGGCGGCTGCCGCTCGCGCGCCGTTCGGGACGAATCGGAGCGTCGGGCAATCGACTGAAAAAACTTCCACCAAGTCGATCGCGCCCAGGCAGGCCCAGCACGCGGCCGACAAGTCGCGAAGCGCGGCTGCGGCTGCAGTGCCTGCAGGGGCAGCGGGAGCCGCTGCTGCAGGCGCGCCAGCGGGCGGCGCTGGCAATGGGGGCGCATCCCCAGCGGCCGGCGGCGCAGCTGCGGCAGCCGGCACGGCATCAGGGGCGACGCACTGCCGGCAGACGAACGCCGCGCAAGTTGTGCACCCGCCTGCGCCGGCGCCACCACACTGATTGCAACGCGCGCCGTGCTCAGCCCTCGCGGGGCGCATGCTCCCACTGCAGCCCGGGCACAGAGGGCCAGGGTTCCGCGCCTCCCCGACGCGGACGCCAACCCATCCGCACTGCCATCTGACGGGGCGCCAGGGCGACGGGCGAGCAGGCTGCTGTCGCCTTCCTCGCGCCCTCGCGTCATGGAACCTCCGCCTCCCAGCGGCCGTGCCGGATGGGGCCGGATCCTGAGGCGGCATTCCCATCTCTGGGTGCCGGGCCCCGAGGGGGACCAGCGGCGCCAGCGCCGTGCCGCGGCGCTCTCGGCGCTCCGTGCCGCCACGGCCCCTGCGGGAGGCGCGCGAGGCGGTCCCAGGGTGGGCCGGCGGCGCGGCCGGTGTTCCTCCCCCCCCCTTCCTGGCGGATCTGCGGTTCGACGTCGGGTTCCGAGGAGGGTGAACGGCGCGAACGGCGCGCCGCGATGTTCCCAGCGCCTGCTGCCGCCGCGGCGTCGGCGGGAGGCCCACGAGGCGGGCCCGGGCGGGATGGCGGCGCGGCGGACGTCCCTCCCCCCTCCTCCCGGCCGATCCGCGGGTCGGAGCCTGGCTCCGAGGAGGGCGAGCGGCGCGGGCAGCGCGCCGCGGCGCTCCCGGCGCCTGCCTCCGCCGCGGCGTCGGCGGGAGGCCCACGACGCGGGCCTGGGTGCCTGGGTGGCCTGGCAGCGCTGCCGGAATCCCTCCCCACTCCTCCCGGCCGATCCGCGGGTCGGAGCCGGGCTCCGAGGAGGGCGAGCGGCGCGGGCAGTAGCACGGCGCGGCGCGAGCAGCAGCACGGCAGCAGCGCAGCGGCACGGCGACAGGGCCGCCACGGCGGGGGGCGCTTCGGAGCCCGCAACGTACATGGGGCCAGCCTGGGGGCCAGCCTCGGGGACGGCATCGGCGTCGGCAGCGGGGCCCGCCTCGGCGCCAACGCCCAGACCGGCTCCTCCATCGGAGCTCCATTTACTTCCGCCGGCTTCCTTTGTCCTTGCC